ATAGCAGCCCACGTACACATAGCAGCCCATGTACACATAGCAGCCCATGTACACATAGCAGCCCATGTACACATAGCAGCCCATGTACATATAGCAGCCCACGTACATATAGCAGCCTGTACACTTAGCAACCAATTCCTTGTCTGTGATTGGTGGGTTTAGCTTGAAAAGCTGTCAGTGACTGGCTGACGGAGTTATAAACTCGTATCAATTTTTGACAGAATGACACCAGGCCACAGATGGTGTTCTTAGCAATTAACTTGAAAATTAACTAAGTGTTAAAGCGTTTGGGTTTGGGGACAGAAAATTTGAACAGATTTTAAAACTTATAGAATTAAAAAGGTGAAAAGTACTCATCAAAGTATGCACAGGTCCTAGGCATAACACAAAATCCACAACAAATGCCAGATAAATTGCTTTAAAAAATAGATCAGTACTCACTGCAGTGAGTGACAGAGAGGGTATTTTCTTGTCTGTCCCGACCGCCTGTCTGTGAGGTCACGGACAGACAGACGAATGGACGGATGGACAAGACAAGCACAATAGAGCCTTTTTTCCATAAATGAGAAAATGCGCTAAAAAGAAGATGCTTTGAAATGCTTAACAGCTACATTGAATTTTATTGCTTTATTTTTGGTGTGACTATGACCAGATTAGTATGGCCAACTTGCCTCTTCATCCTGCGGGTGCTTGAATTGGACAGAGTCGTTAACAATAGCTGAGCCATCGGCCACAATAATGAGGTGTGTGCAGAGGAAGGCATCCACATCCTCCGGCTGTAGATAGTCTGTGCAGGCAAATGCTTATTTAACTATATATTGGAGACAACAAAATAGAACAATAAATTTAATATAAGTCTCTCAAATGCATCATTAGTTTAAAACTCATGTATTAGACTGAAACTTTTCTTCTCATTAAAACCATACAACATGCCTAAGAGTTGCAATTTGTCCACAGACATAGCAAATGTGATATAGTTTTTTAATTTATTTTTTTCAGTGATAGGTATTTGAAACTATGAAAATACATCTATGAAAAAAATTGTGTTCATATGGCATAAAAAATACAGATTTATTGGTTCATCATAAAATTATGTTTAGTGAAAAACCTCTTGAACTGATAAATTTGAAATTTTTTGTTAGAACCGAACAAAGCCTCAGAAATGGAATTTCATGTTGAATTATGTTACACAAAATTTTTATTTTCCTTATAGTTATCTAAGATGGAAGATTCAGCACAATTCAATGTGGATATTAAATAAAAATTAATCATGCTAACTTTCCTCTTTCTTCATGTCTAAAATGAAACAATGATAGATGTGGACTAAAAAAATGTCTACAACACTAAATTCACATTTTCATCATGTCCGCAATGAAAGGTTCAGCAGAGTTTCCTGCACAGTAGTTCCAGTAGTCCTGTAGTTTATCACTATTCATGTGCGTGAATCAATTTGAATTTGAACTAATATTCCAATCAATTTTTTTGACAGTGTATCCACAAATTTGCTTAGAAGTGCAGGTACACATAAACTTGTCAATTTTTATGGCAAAACATTGAACATATTTTCTTTGTGAACCAAAAAAAAAAAGCTGTCCAATCGAGTCCATGGATCAATAACTAGGTAAACTCAGTTATTTAGTGTATACATTAATAAATGGTAAGCTTTGTTTGCATTACTATTGCAGCAAGCAAATCATAAATAGAGAGCAAAACATACCTGAAGAATTAGACAGCGGGAGGACATAATAACAAACTCTGACGCAGCTGCTGGATGGCGTGTTGTTGGTCTGAGCAACATGTAATAACTTCTTATGGATAATTCCTTTCCACTGCTCTGCCAAGGTGGAATCTGGTGAGAAAAAATAATCATACCTACATATTAGACTCATTAGTGTACAATGTATTGATGAAATAAATTAATAAGGCAAAAATAGGTGTATTTGAAGGAAATACACTGAAATTCAATAGCAAGTAAATGTATTTCTAATTGATTTGAGATAGGAATAAAATAAAAAGCCATAATCTGTTATTAAATATAGGTATCATCCTCAAGTGGACCCTCAATAGAAAATAAAGTACCATAACATGAGGTGACTTGGACTGTTTTGACTTTAAGAAAAGAAAGCCCTTATACTCAAAAAGTTCTTGCTTCAATTTCTGTTGAAATACTATGAGATAACCTAAAAATGCAATAGAGAGATATATTTACTATGTGACTATATAAAAAAGTATGTAAAAATTTTTCCAAGTCACACCATCAATGGTCCAAGTCATAGTACCGTTTTACAGTATGTATCAGTTATCACTCAAAAACGTACTTGCACATCACTGATACCTACTCAAAACATGTAAATCTTGGAGGATTTCAAGCTGTAAAAGACAAAGAATTGTCAATACCGCAGTGTCATTGTCAAAAGAAATGCTACCTACAACCACTTCATCTGATGTGCAAATGGTGTATTTAAATAATTCACCTTGGCATGAACATAACTTGTACCTATATAAATAAATATTGCTTGCTGCTTTAATTCATTTATTAGCACATTTTCTCATTTATGGAATAATTACACTATTGTGCTCGCCATGTTCGTCTGTCTGTCTGTCTGTCTGTCCGTGACCTCAAGTTTTCGTCGACAAGTAAATGCGCTCTCTGTCACTCACTGCTGTGAGTACTGAGTTATATTTTTTTATTTATACCTTCAAAACCACCCAAAACTGGGTAAAATTTTCCATTCATTCAAAGGGAGTGAAGCTTTATGATCCAATGCTTTTGGATAAGTGGTTGCATTCATGACTTCTACAGTGTCATTGTTGCTTGTGTGATTGAAACATTTTACATGTTATATAAAAAATGATTCCAAAATCTTCTAAAGTCTAGGCAAAATATTAATTCTATGCAGTAAACTCACCTTGAGGATTAGCTTTAGGAATCTGGCAATGTATCACACAGGCCATGGCAAAAAGGGATAGCAATACTGCAACAATACCCACATACTTTGATAAATTGATTGACATTATTATCATGAGACATCAAATTTTTCTACTTTCGGGTAACAAAGGAAATTGTTAGCTTTGTGCAGTGAGAAATACTGGATTTTTGGGAATTTTTTAATCTTTGGACATGGTTTGCATCTGATTTTTGGATGTTTCTATATATACCAGCATTAAAAGCATTAAGCAGACTAAGGAGCTTTGGGACTTAGTAGCCTAATAGGAAATTATTGTTATCTGAGATCAGAGGAGAAAATTTACAACATAAGACAGAATTATAGACATTGTTTGACAGAATATTTAAAATACATTTTCAATCTTGCATTTTGAATTTGACTGAAATTCATTTGAAATACCTCATTAGTATGTATACCTATCATACCATACATTGGACTACCTATATGCATAACTAGTGAGAAAGCTGACACTTTTTTAGACTTCCCCATGTTCATTTTTGAGTCCTTTATGTAGACCAATAAAGTGGTATCACAGACATCAGCATTATCATACATGAGATAATATTTAAATTTTGAACAGATGAAGAGATTAAAAATAAACATTAAAAAAATCCATGGTTTGACACTATGACAATAAGTGACATTATTTTATACACTATGCATTGAAAATTTGAAACTGCACTGGGCCAGGGCACTTCGCTCTTGACAGCAAATATTACAGTTAAATTTCTTACAGAACAAGCATGCAAGAGCTCTACAGTCAAATTTTATTGCCATCCAAGTCTTTGTTGCAGAGTCTAATAAATATTTTGAGGAGATAAAAAGTTTGGTTTTAATTTATTCAAACAAGGCAGGGCAGATACACACACTACACATCCATAACCATCTGCACTCATCATGTGTCAATTTTGAAACTTAAATTTGGAACCAGTGCAAAAAATGGATTCATAATAAAATTGTATGATCAAATAAATACCTATACAAGTAGATGTGCAGGTTTGATAATTTGATATACACATCTTATACATGTTCAGATGTTCTGGCAAGTAGTGGCAACATTTAGTTCTGCTGCACTGGCTAGCCTACTGCTTGTTTAGTTAACATTCAAAGATTATAAGAACCAGGACAGGAGACTCAGTCTGTCTGTCTGTCAGACAGGATGGGCTGCGCTGCTGCAGGCTCGACGACTTGATATTATATCAGAGAAAGGGGAGTAATTTGTTCTAAAAATATATTATTTATGAGTTAGATGCAGAATTTTATTGATAAAGTGATTAAGTGAGTAGCCTACTCTTAATGCGGTTACTGCTGTAGGGTAAACGCGGTATATTCCGACGCGACACCTCTCTAGTTTTTCCTTTATATTAAGCTTTGTTTTAGTTCCATGTGTTCGTTGATGGTTGAAATAGTGACGTCATACATTTGCACGTCTAACTACTGCCAAAACACTAGGTCTGGGCCATCTAGGGGGAAAATGTTGAGATCCAAAGAGAGACGGTGCATGCCACCCAATGAGATCATTGAAAACTGTGTCAAAGTTGACAGTTGACCTTGCTCTACCAAATAGTGATAAACTGTTTGTGTAGAAAGAATATTATGATTTGAGACTTTTAAATACGTCTGTGAATAGGTATATTAGGAATCCTTCAAGTATACTTGTATTCGCTGATTTCAAGTGGTAAATAAATTAATAGATGATTAAGTTGAGAAATGGATTTAGACACATAAAAACTAATTCCAACACAACTTGAATTGGACACACACAGCTCGTTCCAAGCTGTGTGCAAAAATTAAAATTTTCTTAATTAAAAGCTTAATAACTGTTAATTAAAAGCCTAATTAAGTAGTGCTCAATATTCAATAGTGTTCTAATTCAAAGCCGTCTCGTATTCCAATACAGCGCAGTGAGCGCACACAGAGATCGGAATTTGAACCCGTGGATGTTGGTATTACGTATTAGTGTACAATTTGAAGCACGGTCGGAATACGTCTTACCACATGCCAAATATAGTCACACACAGTGTCAGAATATAGGGATTTGGTAGGTTTGCATTCTAAAGGCTTTTAAATAAATATGGCAACATTTTGTGACGTTTCATTGTTGCTGGTGTGTCGTGCGGTGTTTTGAAAGTCACGTAAAGCAAACACAACTCGAGTAACGCATACGGTTTTTTTATAGTTTTTAATTTCTTGATGCATCCTTAATGTTTTGGAATATACCACACTCAGGATGATGTATGTTTTCTGTGAATTTTCCCGGCATTTTCACTTTTTTTAAGCTATTGCTGTGCACATTTGGCGCAATGTAATGAAAATTGATTCTCTTCGCGCACGTGTTTGCGCAATCCCGGCCATCAATTCTTAAGTCTTGAGAGGATATTTCCTTGAACCTTGAGGACTAGGAGGAGAGTAGAATGGTAGTTCTTCTGCAACTAAACAGCAAAACAACACAGCATTATTGTTTGAGTGCAACTGATTTAAAGAACTGTAGAATTCCATACATTTGAAAATGTGGTCTTGCACTCTTGCTGGTGCCTGGCTAAGTAAGCAAATTTTTAGTGGGTGTAAATCTAAATTTAATGAGAATATAGATACATCAAAGAAAATAAACTAATTAAAAGGATTTACACTAGCAGTGAGCTTGAGTAGTCAGGCAGTCTGCCAGTTGGGTGTCTCTAATCTAATCTCAGGTAATCTCAACTCTTTGGCAGGTTAATACAAGTTAATTTTGAATCTCCTCTATATTACAAATGATAATATTTATGTCATATCCATGTATAAAAAAATTATTTCTGAAACTGTAATGGGTCTTTTGGACTTTGGAATACATAATTTCTCAATTAACCAGGCTTTAGGCATTTAGAGTTTAGCCATAGAAAAAATGTTGAGCCCTGAGTCCTGTTTTGAAATTAGAGCCAGAGGCATTGAATGATTGAATCCATATTTGCATATGATCTAGCAACATGCAAGCCATTGAAGCCAATGGAAACAAGCTATGACCTGTTACGGTGTTACCTGTAGGCTGTATATCTGATAGCTACATGAAAAGCCTTAAGCAATATGCTTAACTTGCAGTCTAGCACCTGATGGCTGATAACCTATTCTTTTAAACTTTAAACTTCCAAGTTTAAAGTTTGCCAAAGACACACCAATAATATTTGCACACTGGGCGGTGGCAGCCAGCCAGCCAGCCACCAATACACCAAAGTCAGCAATGAGGTTAAAAATACAAGAAAAATTTTTTGATAATATTTGCCAATTGCCAACAATACCATATGGCATATGATATGAGTGACTACAGTCAAATTTTATTGCCATCCAAGTCTTTGTTGCAGAGTCTAATAAATATTTTGAGGAGATAAAAAGTTTGGTTTTAATTTATTCAAACAA